TTTACACAAGAAATGAAACTTCGAACCCTGATTTTCACCACGCACGCACTCACGCACCCAACCACTTAAACCAACTAATGATCATTAAACATTTAAAATAAATAAATTTTCATGTGACATAAATACCTTCTGGGAGCCGGAAGAAGTCATGTATTCGTACATTAGCCAGTTTGTCATGTTGTCTTTGGCAAGAAAGTAGTTAAGTAACATCTTGTACCCGATTATTTCTTGATTGGCATTTTCTATGGGTATTGTTTTGGTAAATCCCCCATTAGCTGTGGTGCGGCTGGCACGATTTCCATTGAGCGTTCTTCTACTGAAAAAAAAAAACAAAAAAAACAAAAAAAAAAACAAAACATCTCACTTTCTTTGCGAGTTCCATAGTTCTCTGTGTATATAATATATATATATAATATAGAAAGAATATCATTTATTTATTCATGTACCAATGTTTACCAACTAGTGCATGAAAATTATCACTTTTTTTATGATTATTGATCAATACTATAGCTAACATTTTTTGAATCTCGGTTCGTATACAAAATTATAATATTTCTTCACTGTCAGAAACTTTTTTTTTAAGTCAAATCGTAAATTAGAATTGTACTACAATACGTCCTTATTTTGAATCCAATATTTAGAACCACTTAGCAGTAGTTATATTCTAAAGTTAACCAATGATTAATCACCGCATAATTTCATTATACATGCAAAAAGTACAAGTCTTATTTAATGTCTCTTTTCAAAATATTTCATTTTAATATCATGTGTTATATCGAAATATATGTCTAGTACTATGTGTTTTTAATAATTTTATACAGATACCTTGACTTTTTAGGTAATAGTTTTTTGATACTTTAGAGCAGTTTTTTAAGACTTAAAATATCATTTATACGCTATACTTAATTTATTTAGATTTTTTTTAAAAACCATATTAAAATATTTTAAAAAACCATAAAATAAAAAAACTAAAAACTCTCAATTTTAATATATTTAAAACATTTTTTAAAATATGTTTAAAAAATTTTAGTTTCTAACTATGTCACGCCTCCAAATAAGAGTTAGTAACGTGGATGCTTGTTTAAAAATTTAAACTTGTTTAAGAAAGTGATTAGCAAATAACAATGTAAAATTTAAATTTTAAATCCAAAACATTCAGGTATTTTCAAACAAACCCCGCTATTTAGGAGAAATTTAATTTCAAGAAAAGTGGTGAAATTTCTAACCAAACCAGTTCAAAACCTCGCCCCTAGTATCATGTCAGAAATTCTCACAGGTTTAGCATGCATGAATACAAACAAAGTAAATGGTGACATCAACCACAGTCTTGTCACACCCCCAAACAGGGGTTAGTGACGTGCAGACTTGTTTAGAAATTTAAACCTGTTTAAGAAAATGATTAGCAAATAACTGTGCAAAATTTAAATTTCAAATCTAAAATATCCAGGTATTTCCAAACAATCCCCGTTATTTAGGAGAAATTTAATTTCAAGAAAAGTGGTGGAATTTCTAACCAAATCAGTTCAAAACTTCGCCCATGGTATCATGTCAGGAATTCCCATAGGTTTAACATACATGAATATAAACAAAATAAATAGTGACATCAACCACAGTCTAGTAACATAAAACATAACACCATAGCCCAATAGGATATAATTTTATAAAAAATAGTAAATAAAGGTACTCACGGTCCAAAGACATAACCCGTAACTGATCGTCTTTTTTTTGAAAAAAAAAAGAAAATACTCACGTAGTAGTAGCAAAATATATGTATAATGAAATTATGCAGAACCATAACACCACTGAGCAAGAAGTGGTAAAATGTCTGAATAATGAAAATGTGCAGGGCCATAACACCACTGAGCAAGAAGTGACAAAATGTTTGTATAATGAAAATGTGCAGAGCCATAACACCACTGAGCAAGAAGTGGATCCGTACGGGTTTAGGGTCCAGCCCTCAAGGATACGATTCCCATATCCCGATCTCTAAGGCTACACTGCGTTTTATCATTTCTTAAAATATTTCATTTTAAGAAATGATACTTTTAAAAAATCTCATTTCTAAAAATCATTGAAAAATTAATAGCATTATTCATGTTATTCTTTAAAATCATTTTCTTTCAACATGTTTTGTTCTAAAACATTTTCATCAGTCAAATCATTTAAAGTAAGGCTAACAAAGATATGAACAAGAATATCTTACCTCTTGGAAATTTAATCTACGGATAACTTCATGTTGTCCAACCATTTATTCTTGAAGCTCCACAACTCGCTCTGAACCTTAGCTCAATTTGTCTCGATTTGCGTGCACAGTTTGGTAGACATTTCAATGGAGTCAAATTGGCATAAACGGAGGTCACCGTTGCATTCAGCATGTCGAAACGAGTCAGGATATGGTCTTAAATCTTCGATCAGACGTCGGGAACCTCAAGAACTAAGACGTGCCAGAATTCAGCCACCGGCGGCGGAGGTTGCCGGAGCATATTTTCGTGGCGGACTTGGGTCCTATCCCCCTAAATCAACCATTCTGAGTTCAATGGTGCCGTCAATCTCACCCAATTCGGCCCTTATCTACCCAAAAATGCCGGTAAAAACCGGTGACTTTGATCCTAATTATCCGACTATGGAATCTCAATTGGTTGAGGGCTTTCATTACCCATGATCCTCTGAGCATTTGGACACCAAAATCGCGATGATCCAACGATTGGATCATCGGAACCACCCCTTATCTCCTCGGATGGCAGCGGCGGCTCCGTTTTCATGCAAACGGTGGCGGGACCATGAAATTGTCATAGGGGTTTTGCTCAGCGTTCTTTTCTGAGTCCATTGACACTGGCAGTGTCAAAAACAGCGGCTGGGAAGGAGGTGAACGGCGACGGCGGTGGCGGGAACTCTGACCACCATGGACGGTGGTGCCCCTGCCAGAATCGAGCTGTGAAAAAGGATGGGTTTTCTTTGTCTCTTCAAGCTGAGTCCATAGCCGATTGGAGGTCAGACAGGAAAGTTACGACGGCAAGAATTTCCGGTAGTTTTCGGACATTTCGCCGGTGATTGCGGCTGTTTCCGACGGAGATGGAGGTCGTGCAGCATGTCAACGAGTCCAGCTCGTCGAGAGCTTTCTGACGGTGTGGGTGGTGTCGCGAAACGACATCGCAATCTCACAGGTGGTAGGTGGCCGGCGTGGAGAGAGAGAGTAAACGTGGGAGAGAGAGAGAGAGTTGGAGAGAAAATGGGGGAAACAAAGTCTAATTTAAATAGAGTATGGATTGATTTATTATTCTTATTTTAAAAAATTGGCTACCAACACTTAAAATTGTTCGAGGGACAGGAGTGTCAATTTCAAAAGAATTATTTTTAAAGAAAAATGGTCATTTATATGATAATTATAACTGAGAATCTTTCACTAATCTCAAATTAACACTAACTACTAGATTTGATTAATTAATCTCAATTAATTTAACCGGATGTTACAAACTAATTAATGATAAGGGTAAAATTGACATTTTCACATCCCAAAAACTATCTCGGGGTACCAAAAAACTATTTCTTAAAACCTCTGAGATACCTGAATGAAATTATCACGAACACATCATATAACACAAAATACTAAAATGAAATTTTCCCTTTCCCTTTCTAATATACTAAATATAAAAACTTTGTTGTATCAAACACACAATTATATATAAGTCGTTATGTGGAATACGTACTAAACTATGCATGAAAACTCAAAAAGGAAAATAAAGATACCTTGATATGATAATAATCCTATAAAAAAAAAAAAGAAACAGAGATGTAAAAAAGACTAACTTTCAAGATCCTCAGGAGTATGCTGATATAGCTCTACTTCTTTGACGGCTTTCGAGAGCTGTGGCCGATTCAAGATTTTCCTCATCAAGTAAAATGTAATAAGCTCTTCATCAGTAGGGGAAAATCTAAATCCCTTTGGTAAAGTATGTTCTCTAGTGTCCATTGACGTTGTCACAACAAGAACAAAGATTCTTTATGTTTCTTGGAGAGCAAGGAAGTAAAAGAATACTGTCTTTCTGTGGTTTCTGGTGTTTGGCTAGAGAGAGAGAAACGATTTGGAATGAATGAAGTAAAAGCAGAAAATCAGATAAGTCTTAACCCTTTGTTCTCTCACTCAAAACCGGAAAAGAAAAAGCTTATCCTTAGAAATTGAGAGATACATGACCAGAACCTATTTATAAGAACTTGAATTACAAGTATTTTTCCCTCCAACACAAATAGCCACGTGGCATCCACTTGTCATAAAAACCCTGCCAAATGTCAACTCTTCATTGGCTTGTCATAAGAATTGTTGTAATTATATTACAACAATTTTGACATGGCATTCTGTTATTCTTGAAATACTTTTTTTTTTTAATTCTTGAAATACTCTTTTTATTGTTAAAAATAAAAAACCTTAACCCGTTATTCAATTCTCAATGTGAGACATTATCTTTTGGAAAAATGACCTCTGATCCATTTCATGTAGATTTCTTCTAAGAATTCTCCTTAAATGAATTTTATGCTTTAGACTTTTCATTGACATTGTCCACATTCAAATTCCTTGTACATGGCAATTGTAACTTTTTTTTTAAGCTCTTGCCTAAATCTCGCTCTCCTTTTTTTTCATCTTTTTGGACTCTTTATTTCTAAGGATTGCAAATGAACCGGTAAAACATGCATGCTTGTGCATCACTTTTATATATCCTCTGAAGTGGGAACAACACTGGATTCTTAGAAGCAGAGAACTGATTTGAATATTCACAGAACTGAAAAAAGCCGAAAAACATAGAAGTTTGATGAGATATAGATTACACCACTTATGGAAAGGCCACCACTTTTTGGCCTTTCTCTACCTTTATAGGTGTGAAGAAGAAAGGAAGGGCAAATATGAGGAAAAAAAAAGAGCAACATTTCACTTATTACACCTATTACAGTTAGTTGCAGGACTTGATATGTGATGTTTCAAAGGAAGGAAGATGGAAGAGACAAAGCTAGCTTGGCATCCCTCTGCCCTTCATGACATGCCTCCGAAGACCAGGAATATGAACATTTGTTATGTAATCTGTCCAATCAATGTTCTCCACATCAAATCCGAACTTTCTCTTCTCTTCCTCGGACATGCTTTCCATCAATATTTGAGTGTTGCTGTTATCAAACCTGAACCAGAATAGATTCATCGAAATTATAGTTCTAGATCTGTTAAACTCTCTTAACGTCCAAGTAGGTGATGCAAAGAAACAATCATACGTGACCAATGGTATCCAATAATAAACTAAAAAAAAAAAAAATTGTAGCCAAAAATAAATAAAGGGCATTGGTGATGTTGGGCACCGTTGCTTTTTAGGTCTCGCAAATTTTGAGTAGTGATGTCAGGCACTAACTAACACTGAAAAACACTGTTCTAAGCAACTCCAAAAATTTGTACAATGTCGGACTTAGCCTTTTTGTTCCCTCCCCAAGCATTTCATGAAGTGTCATATGCATTGTAAGATTTGAGGCTATTAATACTGCAACTAAATGGACCCTTTTAGAAGGCACATTTTGTTCTATCTGTAACATAAGATCAGCAAGATTTTCATTTTATGTGAGAGTGAGAGACAACCGGCTTACCTGCCACCATAGAAAGTGTATGGCTCATAAATATTAGCCAAGTGCTTGGCCTGCTCCACTGATTTTCTACAAATGACCTCGAGTTTCTGAGACAGCTTCATGTTCGATGAAGCCATTGATGTTAGCCCGTTTCGCTGAGCAGTATCTCTCCAAAGGTGCTCGGAGAAATCGTCCATTGAGCGAAAAAGCTTCATGGAAGGAACATGGATTGGCTTACCACTGGGGTCCACACATGGTGAGGAGTTATAGTGTTGATATAGCAGTCTGGCAAGGTCTTGAAAGACTAGTGGATTCACAACTGAAGAGGCAATCTGGTAAACATTGATATCCGGTTTCTGAGACAATCCATGCTTTGCCATGGCTGCCAAGGTTGCATTAACAACCATGTCAGCTGGGACCTGCCAATTGTCATGTTAAGAGAAGCGGCTACTCAGTAGAACAACTAAAATAAAATAAAAAATATAAAAAATGGGTTCACATAACTGTTCCTATGCATTGCAAAATATGTTATATAATTATGTGTCACATTTGTCTATACCATAATTTTCTTAGGTAAATTTCAGAATATTTCAGAATCTTTTGAAGGGTAGTTCCTTTCCTTCACAGGATTGCCAAATTAGTAAAATGAACTGAACTTGTGTTATAATTATAGAAAAAGGGTTCTGTGAAAAATATAAGAATTTTAGTTAATTACCACATCAAGTACACCATTTGGGTCCACTAGAAAACCTGTCAGCTGGCCTTTACCATAGTACAAAATTATTGGATCCATCATCCTGTAGAGAGAAAGAGAGAGAGAGAGATCATATTAAGCTCTTGTTATGCAAAGGAAAATGCATTTCAAATGTTCTAACTGCTTTTGAAAAATACCTATTTCCTTCCATCCAACCAGGGAAGGGCTCTTTGCATGTACTTTCAATAACACTTGGTCTGATTATGACCACAGGCACATCTCCCCTCATACTATCAATCATCATTTCTCCCATGGCCTTTGTGAACACATAAGTATCTTGCCATCCATATTGTTGTGCCCTGAAAATATACATACATACATATATACATAAATATATATATACATACATACATACATATATCCAATTTTCATGGCCTTATAATTGTCAATCAGATATCAGTGGAAGAAGATAAATCCATTACCTCTGTAGACCCAACTCTTTCATCTTCTGAGTCATGGCATTGTTTTCAAAAGCTTCCTTTGAAGTCCAAGCCAATTTCATTTCGTTTTTGACATCGAGCATAGGTAGCCGTCCTGGCGGGGTTTCGGAAATGAACTTTTCGCCTGCTATGGTTTCTCCTATACGGAAGGGCTTCTCCATAATCCTTCCTTGTCTTTGTCCATTCACATAAGCTGCGTATGACAAGACAAAGCATATTATTTCTCATTTACTTTTTTGAAAACTGCCAATACATAAAAGTCCTCTAGTTTTCACCCTTTTCTTTTCTACATACCTGTTGATACTTGGAGGAAGAGCTTGAGTTTCTTACATTTCTTTGAAAAGTTCATAAGGTGACAAGGCCCTTTTGTGTTTATACTCAGAGCAACATCATATCTGAAAAAAAAAAAAAAAAAAAAAAAAAGTTCTTCTACCTAGACTCATTTGACATTGAAATCTTTTTTGCATTTTCAGATAAACCATAGGAAGAAAGAAAAAGCCTTGACCTTTCGTCAAATGTTGTGTTGGCTGCAGAATTCACAATGACGTCAACTTCTTTCGCAATTGTTCCGGCTAAGGCATCGTCGAGTCCGAGATCAGATTCGCAGACATTTCCCACCACAGGGACTAGTTTGCTCAACATGAAAGCTTGATAAGATTTTCCATAAGTTTGCTGGAGACGCTTGAAAAGCTCTGTGTTTATGATCTAAAAGTGCACCAAGAATACATTCACACAAACAAATTTATGACCAAATAAACTTTGTAAACACAACAGTGTACCGGGAAAAAAAAAAAGAAAAAGAAAGAAACATACTTCATTTTTTAGCCTTCCCATTGCAGCCTCCTTGTTCTTGGCCTTGATCAAAAGATATATCTTTCCTACATCAGGCGTTGTCCTCAACATCTTTTCAATAAGAACTGCATATGTTCCAACACAAGGAAAAAAAGAAAAAGACTCTTAGATTGTCTTCAACAAAAAATACACAAAAATGGGTGAAAAACGAATCAAATGTACCTTTTGCTAGAAACCCAGTTGCACCAGTTACAAAAAAGCTTTTCCCTCTAAGAAAGTGTAGAATTCCAATACCATCATGCATTTCCACTGAAGCGGTAGATTGTGATTGTGATCCACCAAAAGGCACCAAATCTTTGACTGCAATATTATTCTCAGCTTGGCTTTTTCCATTAGGAGACAAAACCAAGTTTCCTTTGTCCAAGTCTTTTCTTGTTGTCAAAATAGAAGAGAATCCACTACTACTATTACTACTAGTCTTTATAGCATTACCACCTCCTTGGCAATGCACAAGAGTACTCTTCTTCCTCCAAAGGCGAAAGCTCTGATCACACTTTTCGGACACTCTTGCGAGTCTACTCGGAGCAAAGGAGGAAGAATTCAGTAACAAAGCTTCCATGATCATTAATTAAATGGAGTGAAGAAAAAAAAAGTTATCAGAAGAAGGATGACAAATAAAATGTTTAAAAATTGCCCTTGACTTAGTCTGAGGGACTTTAGCTAAACACTTTCTCAACAAAATGGGGGCAAAAAAAAAACAGAAAAAAAAAAGCAAGTAAACTAACTGAACTCTACAATATAAGAGATTGGTTTAGGAGATGTTTTGAGTGTAGAAGGGTGGATGTAAAAGAAGAAGAAGATGAGATTTAGGTGGATTTGATAAGTGAGATTTATAGGAGAGTTTTTGCATAGAAAAAGTGGCTCTCTTTTTGCCACTTCTATTGTGGCAGTTTCACACTTACTCACCAACGGCTAAGATGGCGGGAACTCTCTTTATTCTACTCCTTTGATTAGTCTTCTTTGGCGATGTGGGATTTTTATTATGTTCCATAGTTTAAAGCAAAATTATAGGAGGGTAAAAAGGGTGTGAGTGAGATTATGGTTACAAGATTTTCTGTTCTTTTTTTTATCTAATAAATTTCATGGGTTTTTATTTTATTTTATTTTAATTTTTCATGAAAATAATATGTTATGAAATGTTGTGCCCGTCAGCAATCTTTGAATGCCTAAACCTTTGTTTTCAACGCCTTTGATAAGTGAGGAGTGTAAGAATTTGGCTAAGAATAAATTTCAGAAATATTGATATATATACACACACATATGTATATATATATATATATATCCGAGTCTTGCTAAATTAGGTAGAAAATGTTGAGGACTTTAAGAATATAATTGAGGGTCAAAGAAACCAAACTAATTTTATCATTTAGACAAACTATTTTATACATTAAAATTCTCTTAAGAGTTAGATATCAAATATGGTGTAAGTTAGGCCTATGTATAACTTATGAAGTATATAGCTAGTCACTTTTATGTATAGATAGATTAAGTTTAATTTTAAAAAAAAAAATTGATATATTCGAATACTAACTCTCTAAAATTTGTATTCCTCTAATTCTTAATGTGATGTTTTGTACCGTGTAAAGCCAACATTCCTTTTTTTTCTTCTGAAACGTGTGTTTTGTTCCCCTCTCCCTTTTTTCCTTTTCTTTTTTCTTTTTCTTTTTTCCATTCTCTTTCTCTCTCTCTCTTATTACCTTCCTCCCCTAAAATGTTAAATTTTTCGTTTTCTTTTCTTTTCTTTTTTTTGTTTTTTACTTTTCACTCTTTTCATTTTTTTCGTTTTACTTTTCTCCCTGAAAAATTTTTATTTTTATTTCTTGCCTTTCTTTTAACTTTTTCACCGCTCATTTCTCCTAATGATTTTTTTTTTTTCTAAAACGTGATCCTATTTAAATATTTCTTTCTGATAGTGCTCTAAACTATTATTAGGTCATAATTTATTCTCAAAATGTTTTTATTAATTGTTCCATTAAAATAAGCTTATACAAATATGCCCATCTAAAATTTTATATTCTTCGTTCTTGTCTCTCTCATTTATCTCGATGGAAATATATATATATATATATATATTAAGATATGATCTCACATAGATATTTCTTTTTAGTGATATAATTTTTTTTTCCTAATTGTCCCACTAAACTAAATTTCTATAATTATGCCCCTCCTTAATTTTTTTTTTTCTCTTCCATGGCCTTCTCAACCACTATTTTCTTATAAATCTTTTTTTTCTAATTTGTTCATGTTGCATTATTCTCAAAATACTTTTTCCTTGTTGCTCATTAAAATTACATTTTTTTCAGATATATCACCACTTAAACAATTTTTTCAGATATATCGCCACTTAAACAATTTTTTTCCCTAACGAACAGAAATGTCCAAAACTAACACTTCTACAGTACTTTCAATTAAAACGATTCTTTTTTTTTTAATTCCTTGTAACGCCAATCACAAGCTAGCAGTTAGAAACTTCACTAAGTCAGGAGAAACGTTAGCTTAAGTAGAACAACATAATAAAAATATAATTACACACCAAAGAATAATAATCTTTATACAGACCTTAGACCATTATTGCTCAGTCAATTGGAATCTCAATTACTAAGCTTACTTACGTCACAAGAATTATATGAGCTGCTACAGCTCAGTACATAAACCATATATTCTCTTTAATATTTAAAATTTAGGGCCCTCTTGTACAAAGATAATCTCGTGTTATTATGTGACGACCCTAATCTAAGTAGCCGTCTCTTTTAATCTCACTAATATGTAGTCGCTTAAAATACTTGAAATAATTAAATTAAATTAGAGAATTTCTTTTTAAAATTATATGAGAATAAACTTAACCTTAACATCATATGTTACTTTTTAAATTATAAAGAGATCTCAGTCTTCTTAAAACCATACTACATAATAAAAAAAAGTCTTGTCATAATAAAACATATTACGGAATAAAAATGCGAGCGGTATCCATTTCTCATTATCCACACTCATCACCTACTGTTGTGCACTGTCCATCATTCATTTTGCATTGGTTGCTTTCCTACAGTATAAATACATCTCAGGTGTGAGTTTATACTCAGTAAGTAAGAATTTAAGTCTCGCTAATTAAAAATAGAGTACTTAAAGCATAACAGTAAGGTGAGTTTATACTCAGTAAGTAGGAATTTAAGTCTCGCTAATTAAAAATAGAGTACTTAAAGCATAACAGTAATGCATGTACCAATTATGCTCTTTTATGAACTTGACTTATTAAATCTTATGGGCCTGAGTGTTCATATTGATTGCGCGCGATCAGCAGGTAGAAAGGGTTTGCAAGGTCCCCAACTACACCGTGACCATAATTCATTTCATCATTTATTTTTCTAAACATAAGCCCCCCAATCTCGAGCGGTTGGTACGACACTCAACTTTAAACTATTCTCATTAATTTCATTAGTGAGCATGTGACATGACATTCTATATCATAGAGTATAGACATGTGTATAAGACATGTATAATATTTCACTTTAAAACTTATTCATATTGTAGGCAAGATTCCCACTTACCTGCTATTAACCAAGGTTTAGACTATATTATATTACTCGCCGAGGTTAACCTCTACTGTTGTATTCTGTAAAGAAAACCCACTGAGAGGGTGAGTTTGACTCATTATAAGCTAGTCTATTAGCTTAGTCTATTTAAGAATTCATTTATATACTTAGAAATATTTCCTTTTTAAATAGGGATCATTTAACTTCTTTCACATTACAAGAATTATTTTAATAAATCCTTATCATATACTTTTCCTTAATTGCCTTTGCTAATCGTGTTGGTCTCCGGATCGAATCCAGATGCAGAAGCGTGGTGGTGCGGGGAAGAGGCGGATCGTGTATAACAAAAATTTTCATAAAACTTTTGAGATACTCTATAGATTATATTAATTTATGCACGAATAAATTAATCTCATTAACTTATATATATCAAGAACTCAATCAGGAAAAATACCTGGAAGCCGACTCGGATGATAACTTGAAGTCTTTGATCACGAACAGTCCTTGCTCCAATCTTTGTGTTTAGAAAACCAATGTCTTCCACATCAATTCCTAGAATCCACGAAGACGTGTGTGTGGGCACACATGAGACAAAAC